GGGAGAAGAGACATCTCTGTATGTAGTTTGCAGCAAGCTAAGCTAACTTTCAGAGGGGCTGTGAGCCCCCAGCCTGTAAGGGGCTGTTGTTAAAAATCTGCAATGACTGACGGCTTTCAAGAACAGTCCAGAATCTTTTTCTGTAAATAGGAAGGACGTTGTCCCTGTGCATTGATTCAGTCAAGTCCATCATCCCATATTGCCCTATCCAAGTTATTTCCCCTAATAAAATAACCAAAAAATAAATTCATGGACTGTTCACTGACATGACTAAGGTATTGCAGATATTACGGCTGCTCCTAAACCTTTAAAACCCCCCACCTAAACCTGTGACCTCCCCAAATCGACACTGACACACATTGGAGTTTAAAGGCCATAGCAGCCATTTTTATTAAACAACAAGATTACAACATTTGTTACCAAAAATACAAATTCTTTATAATAACCCACCTAATCGTTAATCACCTTCCTGTTACTCCGGATTACCTTATTAAAGTCTAGGGTCTTAGAAGGCGACTTATATAATCGACCAACCGGCTGTATCTACCACCAACACAGACTTCAAGGCCCCCAGCAGCAAATGCACCGACTCGGGGACAATTTCATAAAATGACCCTTGATACAGCCAACTTACTCCAATAAAATTGCTAGGGTAGGTACACCCATACCTGTGATGAGCCCAACCCACCATTCTACAAAATAATAAAACCATCACTGCCTTCCAAGACCCTGATACCCCTGCCAACTGCTATGACAAAAGAAACCCAGAAAACAAGCAACTCCCCCCAAAACACAGGAACACGACCAAACAGCCACCCATCCCGAAAACTGCCCCAGAATTACCGAAAGGTCGGGAAGGACCAAACAAGGTGAGCCCCACGAACATGGTGCTGCCAAAAGAGTCATTTGGGAGGTAGGCCAGGAGAAACTTGTCCTATGCTGTCCCAACTTCGACTGACTCCGACCACTGTGGCACCGCCCTACTATCTTTCTGACCACCTGGCCCCTCTTAAGCCACACCCAAGCCCCCTCCAATCAGCTACCACTTTCCCTTTCAAATCAAAACTCCTCTATTAACCCTACATTTCTCCGCCAATCCTGCCAACCTAATCATGTTAGGCCTTCCTCCTATGCTGCCCATCTAGCTCCAGGCCTTATTCTGTCCTGGGTAGAGCTACATATCATAAACAAGAGACGCTATCCTGGATTTGCCTGGACAGATCTGCATCTTAGACCTCAGTCCTGATAATGTGGTGTCCCGGGGGGGTGTCCTGGGATCACAGTTGCACCCTTATTTAATTTAATGGGCATGTGGAGTATTTCAATAAGGTCCTGTTTATGCAAGCAGTAGTACTCCAAAGAGTGATCTGTGGTGGAACGCTTTTCAGACAATGTTTGATAGGCAGGTGGTGAAGCGTTCTATCGCCACCTTGCCACCTGTTTTAAACCCTAAAACCCTGCACTACTAATACATGTATAGTACATGGTTATGGAGCAGCCCCATTTACTTGAAGTACTGCAGTAGTGCCCGACCAACGCGACGCATGGGATAACCTTTTCCGCATCCATGGCATGTGTATACCCCTGAATGGTTGCCTTGGCACCTTGGGTTTTAGGCAACAGGCAGTTCAGCTGCGTTTTTACTGCTCCCCTCCCAAATGCAAGTAAAAACTTTGTGCCTGGAGAAGTAAATCCAGGCAGTTGAACCGCACATTTACTGCTCTTGATCACCCACCTGAACACTGACATGCAGCTGGTCAGGGCTGGATACTGGCTGTGAGTAAAATGCTGTGTTTCACAGCCATGGCAAAAAATAGCATGTTGGCACCTATTTAAGTTTATGGGGTGTTCTGCAACAGCCCCACAGCCTTATGCAATGCACGCAATTGCAGCGCAGTGGTGCAAAACTTATGAGGTTAAATTAGAGCTGAGGTGGCAACTTCACCTCCCATCCAGGGGCAGACTGACCATTTGGAAACTCAGGCACTGCCCGAGGGCCTGGGGTCAGTATGGGGCCCCATGAGATGCCCCTGGATACCTTTTTCATAGGCTTTTTTGAGTTTGGGCAAGGACACAGAGGCCCCATGATCCCCTATTGCCCAGGGGCCCCATGAGTTGTCAATCCACCCCTGCTCCCATCCATATGCCAAACTGCGGTACTTCGAGTGATTGGGGCGGCCGTGTGCTATGCATGTGTTTGTAGTGCAGGCTTTTAGGGGTTAAACAGGTGGCAAGGAGGTGATAAAGGCTTTACTGCCTTCAAACAATGTCTAAAAAGTAATTCACCAATGATCGCTTTTCAGAGGTGCGAAAGGGGCTGCTGCACATTAACAAGCCCTAAGGCATTCATAATGGTGATCGGGGGGGGGGCACAAGTAGGTGGTCCCACATAATTAGAGGCAGGCCTTGTCATAGCTGGAGGCGCACAGGGTTTGAAACCTCCCTACACTGATTTCTATCTGTCCCAGAAGGAAAGGTATGGGATTTAAACCCCTGTGGCTATTTCTCTAGTGTAGAGTTGACAGTACGGGCTAGACGGCTTTTGATTAGTCAGCACTGCCATGGTGATGACCATCAGAAGCCATCTAGCCCGTACAGTCATCCCTGCAAGGAGAGGAGAGAAAGCCGCTTCACAGGTCAGGGGATTTGAAATCCCTGCGGCTTTCTTGACCAGTTGTAAGCCATGTACTGGGGTGGGCTCCCCAGGATACAGTGAAGTCACGAACGAGGGAAGCAACCTCAACACCAGCTTTTGCCACAACAGAATTTTACTTAGATGTGGCAAATAAACACAACCACAAATGCTGGAAACATACAATAAATTTCATACACCCAGCCCAAAGGCTGAGGACCCTTGTGCTGCACAGCACGGCGCCTCCTGATGGATGAAGGTAGAAAGTGAAGTAATTTACCTACTGGGGCACAACTAAGCTGTCACACCTTACCTGTTATTACCCTAAAAGAGCAGGAATCAGTGTATGGGTGTATGGTATGGGCTAGCCTGCGGTGCAGCATGACAGCTTACAATCTTACACAAATCTACAGTATTTCCCCCTCCCATAACTGGTCCTGTAGCACGTGCCTGAGTATTCCTTCTGAGCAAAACGCCAGTCTGGCTTGAGTTTGTAGGATTTTATCAGCTCTCCAATGTGAAATGTCACTTTAAGTTGTGGAGTCCTTCCTTCAGTAACAACACTTGTGGCCTGACACAAACAGAGACCCTAACTAACTAACTTTAGGCCTGTTCGCAGTCTATAGGCGCCAACACTGAAATGAGGTGCGTGTATGATCTTACTGACCCGAGTCTGCTTTGCATCCGCTGGTGACTCTGAACAGAACAAATGTCTCTCCAACAGGCCTGCGATATTGCAGTGTATGCTGCGTTGTTCCTCTGTTCTCATCAGCTTCCTGGCAGCAATCTCATCAGCTTCACCCAGCTGCAGCTCACACGTTCCCTTCTTTCAGCATTCTCCAGAACATGGCTCCTGTCTTCCTCCTGTTTCCTCAACTCTAACTCTCTGTGAAAACTCCACCTCTTCATGAATATACAAATATCTATGCAGTCTGAGGCTGTGTTAGAAAAACAGTGACATCTTGTGGCTAAACCGCAGAATGTCAGTCAAAACATCAATTTACTTCCACACAGTATTCAAACAATGAGAGCTGTTTCCCCATCTCACACAGTCCTACTCTGCTCTGCCAATGTAAATGCTACTGTGGACACAATGCCAACATTGGGGAAAGCTACTAGGCTTAGGTCTGACTACTGACCTGCAATGCAACAGAAACAAGACATACCTGTGAGCAAATCCCAATAACTAGTATTGTACATGCATTTATCCGCTGCTAAGGGGTGTAACTTCATATTATTACTAGAAATTCTCCTGGAGACTTTTAAAAAAAAAAAATGTGGAATATACACGTTGAGGCTAGGTTCACACCTATGCAGTTTGCGTTTGATCTATTTCTGCAGTGCTTTTTGCAGTCTGCATTGTGTTTTTGAAGATGCATTTTGCCCTTGTTTTCAATGCATTTTGATTTTTTTCTCTCTTGTTGCTAGGCAGATTAAAGCGCAAAAATGTGCTTTCTACAGCATTTGCATTGAAGTCTATAGGACCAAAAACGCAACTTTTTTACGTTACAAAAAAAAAAGTCCCTGACCCTTTCCAAAAAATGCATCGGGTTAAAACGTGGAGATGGGAACGTGTCTCATAGGAAATAATAAATGGACTGTGGTGCATTTTCTATAAGCTGCTGCAGAAAACGCTTAGGTGTGAACCTAGGGTGAGAGTGGAATTATCAAGATATCCTGCTTATAGCGTTTTGAACCCTTAAGAATTTCTATTGTTTTGCATGGGGTTCACCCTTCAGAGGGCCTTTAGTGTTTTTAAATACTGATTTTATATTTATAGTGGACTCTGAGCTTGCGCTACAGAGTGTTGGTTTCACACTTCAGAGGGATATTAGGTATTTAGTCACTATTGAGCTCGCTTTGCAGAGTGTCATTTCACCTTTCAGAGGTTTTTTGTTTTTCATATTTCCATAATATAGTGTATAGGGGTCAATCTTCTGCATTGTGTAAAAAACTGTTTGATCCTGTCTGCTCTGATCCTCCCCTTCTTCCAGTGCCCCCCTCTTATCCCCTGATAAGACATATCATGTGGAGTCACTCTGCACATGCTCAATTTGGTGTGTATTGCTAGAGAAGTTTTTTTTTTTTCTAGAGAGAGTGCATGTGATCAGCACAGAGCCAATCAGCACTGTCCAGACAGAGGTCAGGGGTCCTGCATCCTCCTAGAGCAAAAAGAAAACTCCTCCTTTACCATGTTCTCTGCTGGAAACTGATAGAAGTCACAAGACTGCTCTAACTGCTGATGAGAAAAGGTATTTAGCAGTTTATATTTACTAAAATAATTGCACTTCCATGTTCTGTGTACTGTGGGAGACCAGATATAGTGAATGAGGGGTCTGGGAGACCAGATATAGTGAATGCAGGGTCCTGGGAGACAGAATATAGTGAAGGCAGGGTCCGGGGAGACCAGATATAGTGAATGAGGGGTCTGGGAAGACCGAATATAGTGAATGCAGGGTCCAGGGAGACCGGATATAGTGAAGGCAGGGTCCAGGGAGACCGGATATAGTGAATGCAGGGTCCAGGAAGACCTGATATAGTGAAGGCAGGGTCCAGGGAGACCAGATATAGTGGATGAGGGGTCCGGGAAGACCGAATATAGTGAATGCAGGGTCCAGGGAGACCGGATATAGTGAAAGCAGGGTCCAGGGAGACCGGATATAGTGAATGCAGGGTCCAGGGAGACCAGATATAGTGAATGCAGGGTCCGGGGAGACCGGATATAGTGAGTGCAGGGTCCTGGGAGACCAGATATAGTGAAGGCAGGGTCCTGGGAGACCAGATATAGTGAATGCAGGGTCCGGGGAGACCAGATATAGTGAGTGCAGGGTCCGGGGAGACCAGATATAGTGAATGCAGGGTCTGGGGAGACCAGATATAATGAATGCAGGGTCCGGGGAGACCAGATATAGTGAAGGCAGGGTCCTGGGAGACCAGATATAGTGAATGCAGGGTCCGGGGAGACCAGATATAGTGAAGGCAGGGTCCTGGGTGTAGTAACACTTTAATTTAGCTGCAATGCATTATGGAAAAAGGATATAGCCCCTAATGGCAGTGATGATATGAGTACAATTCAGGTACCTATACGTCTCTGCGCTAACCTCTTCATAAACAATCCAGATGTCCCTAAACTCTAATATGGAAATCCCGAGGCTTCCTAATTAAAGTAGATGTAATCCAATTCCCTCAAATCTCATATAAGCTTTAACATGTTAATTTCAATTCAATAGTCTTTGAATATTTTGAAATCTGCAGCTTTTTGTAAAATGATGGCAGTGATCCTGCCACTAACGTCCTACTTCTTGCACTTCCTGTTATCAGGTGGCATCGCTTTAAACGTGCTACCTAGACGCGCTGCTGTTTTGTCACCCTGCTTGTGAAGGAGACAAGTGGCCCTTGTACTCACAGGCATGGTCCGCTGTTGTAACCACCAGTGCACCAGCACCGAGAAATGCCATGCAACCTCTGTTGGTGTGCTGGAGATCAGCAGCACTGAGCACAAAATAATGAAAACTTTTAATTTTTTCTTAGTAAGTCAACTTCACAAATGCCGTTTTTACAAAGTCTAGGTTCACACCTATGCGTTTCAGAAGCCGGGAGGCGGGATGGGCGGGGTTTAGGGATCATGTGACCACTGTGATGCGTCATCACGGCGGTCACATGATCGGGAAAGGTCCCGATCGAAAGAGCAGATCGGGACCTTTCCATGAGTACCGGACATGTGTGTTGGGAGCGCGCTGGGTGAGTGATCTCAGCACATACAGTTGTGTTCAAAATAATAGCAGTGTGTTGAAAAAAGTGAATTAAGCGCAAAATCCTTCTAATAGCTTTTTTTTTTCCATACACACAAATGCATTGGGAACACGACACATTCTATTCCAAATCAAAACATGAAGAAAAATAGATCAAATTTGTGTTGTTCCTCTAAAAATAATTGAAGAAAGCTGAATATTAGACTGTTCAAAAAAATAGCAGTGTTTGTATTCTTCTTTACAAACTCAAACATTCACAATATAAACTGAAAAATGTTTGAAGATTTTGCTTTCCTTTGAATCACTTAATGAATATTTGGTTGTAGTCGCACTGTTTCTGAGAACTGCTGTACATCTGTGTTGCATGGAGTCACCAAACTTCTGGCACCTGTGATCAGGTATTCCAGCCCAGGATGATTGGACTACATTCCACAGTTCTTCTCTATTTCTTGGTTTTGCCTCAGAAACTGCATTTTTGATGTCACCCCACAAGTTTTCTATTGGATTAAGATCCGGGGATTGGGCTGGCCACTCCATAACGTCCATCTTGTTGGTCTGGAACCAAGATGTTGCACGTTTACTGGTGTGTTTGGGGTCGTTGTCTTGTTGGAACACCCATTTCAAGGGCATTTCCTCTTCAGCATAAGGCAGCATGACCTCTTCAAGTATTCTGATGTATTCAAACTGATCCATGATCCCTGGTATGCGATAAATAGGGCCAACACCGTAGTATGAGAAACATCCCCATATCATGATGCTTGCACCACCATGCTTCACTTCTTCACAGTGTACTGTGGCTTGAATTCAGTGTTTGGGGGTCGTCTGACAAACTGTCTCCGGCCACTAGACCCAAAAAGAACAATCTTACTTTAATCAGTCCACAAAATGTTGCGCCATTTCTCTTTAGGCCAGTCAATGTGCTCTTTGGCAAAATTGTAACCTCTTCAGCACGTCTTTTTTTCAACAGTGGGACTTTGCGGGGGCTTCTTGCAGATAGCTTGGCTTCACATAGGCGTTTTTCTAATTGTAACAGTCCTCACAGGGAACTTTACACCTTCTTTGATCTTCCTGGAGCTGATTGTTGGCTGAGTCCTTGCCATTTTGGCTATTCTTCTATCCATTCGAATGGTAGTTTTTTCGCTCTCTTTCCACGTCTTTCAGGTTTTGGTTGCCATTTTAAAGCTTTTGCGATTATTTTAGCTGAGCAGCCTATCATTTTCTGCACTTCTTTATATGTTTTCCCCTCTCCAGTCAACTTTTTAATCAAGGTACGCTGTTCTTCTGAACAATGTCTGGAACGACCCATTTTCCTCAGAATTTCAGAGAGAAATGCACTGTAACCAGCATGTACAACATTTGCTGCCTTCCTTCCTTAAATAAGTGCAATAATTGCCACCTGTTTTTCAAAGAATGAATGACCTCACTAATAGAACCCCACACTGCTATTATTTTGAACATGCCCCTTTCAATTAGTGATTCAATTACACAGAATCAGCAGCATGCATGTCATGACTGTTGGGTCTGTTGGATTTCTATTACTCTACTACACCTGCTTGTAAATTATTTGCCATGTAGAAATATCATTTCTACCAAAAACAGTGATTGATCCGGTTAGTGATGTCTGACGGCTATTATTTTGAACACAACTGTATGTTTTTTGTTAATTGCACGCAAATGTGTGGCCGCTCGGTGTCTAGGCCCAGACGCCGGGAGGCCGCACATTTGTGTACTGCCGGCGTGAAGAGGTTAAGCTTTGACAATAGAACCTGGAAGCTGATTGGTTTCCGTGCACAGCTGCTCCAGATTTTGTACTCTCCAGTTTTAGTAAATCAACCCCAGTGTGTTAGCCAATCAAACGTCTTTGGGGGGGGGGGGGGCGGAAAACACATGATATATAGGGAATATCTCCACAGTCTCTGTTGGATTCATATAACCAGAATAGCAGGTTTTACAAAGTAACAGATTTATTTACAGATAAACAGTGATATTTGTGATTTTAGTATAGTTGTATATATTCTATAGATAGAGTTGGAAGATCACCAAAAGACTAAGCCCCGGTTCACATTGCTGTGACTTGGTGTATAACTTGCAATACATAAAGTTGCATGACAATTGTTGCATGGAAGTCGCAAGTAAGTCGCACTGGAAGTTTCATGACAAAGGGGTAAGGCAGTGTGATCCGAGCCTAAAAAAGAATTCCAGGTATGGAGGTTTCTACATAGTTACATTGATCCAGCTTGAACCAATGTAACTATGTACTGTATATACCATACCTGTGGTTCCTTCTAGAAGCTGGAAATCACTGTAATTAAAAACCACTACTCCAGTGATCCCCACTAGTTTCCGGGTCCCGTGCTGAGCAGCTGCCCTGCTGTATTCTGAACACAGGAGATTGGCAGCTAGGTACCTTATGCTTTGCATTTTATCAATGAATGCATTGAGAAAATGTATTATCGGACAAGATGGAAAGCATGATCTCCCCGCTCTGCCTCTCCACCATGTCCAATCAAAGAACACTTTGCATTCATGAAAAAATATCTGTGTTCTCTGAATGGCACCTGTGCCCAGTGGCCAACCTCCTGTGATCACAAAGTGGTGGAGTAGCCACTTGGTACAGGACGCGGAAGCTGGTGGAGTTCACCACAGGGCTGCTGCTAGAAACCTTGGGGCTCCATACAGCCAATCTGACAGCCCCCTTCCCCCCCCCCAAAAAAAAAATCCCACACAGTTTACAATGCTTTCATTATGAATGAATACAGTGATTGATCAGTCCCAATCACTCACTGTGTTCATTCAGGAAAGGAAGGGGCTGGTAAATGTGCCATATTTTACGGACCGTTTTCTCACTCTCTATCCTAAAGGATGCTATTGTGTGCTTGCAGATGCCAGTGGGAAGGACAGTAGGGAAGTCGGCAGCACTGTGGGGGTGGGGACGACAGGAGGGTCTGGGCAGCAGCGGGAAAATTGTATGGTGGAAAGGGAGAAGGTAGGGGTAGGGGGGGAGGGGGCAATTACTAGAACTGATCCTCTCTCTGCAGCAGCTGAAAGCCAGCGGGAGGGAGAAGAGAAGAAGCCAGCTTTCAGCTGCTGCAGAGAGAGCCCTACAGGGGATCAGTTCCAGTAACTGCTCCCCCACCATGCAAATTGCCCACATCTGATTCACCCAGCTGCCTGGTCCCCCCTGCTGGCCTGGGCCCCATGCAGGAGGTCTGGTGGTATCCCCTTATCCACATCCATGTACATACATTCTGGCTCAATCCAAAACTGAAAAGAATAAAAAAACAATGGAACTCTGTAAAAATGCCAGACCTAGAATTCTTCTTTATGCTCCATTCACACCATGGGGGTGTGATCGAACATGTACACTTTTTTTCATGATTCTAGACTTTCTTGTGTGTAGTGTCTAGGGAGGCCCATTACGTCTATACATGAGAATCGAGCAAAAAAGGTGCCTGCACCATTTTAACCACTTGCCTACCGGGCACTTATACCCCCTTCCTGCCCAGGCCAATTTTCAGCTTTCAGTGCTGTCACACTTTGAATAACAATTGCGCGGTCATGCAACACTGTACCCATATGACATTTTTTTGAGACAGATAGAGCTTTCTTTTGGTGGTATTTAATCATCTCTGGGTTTTTTATTTTTCTTGCTAAACAAACCAAAAACAATTGAAAATTTTGAAAAAAAAGTTTTTTCTTAGTTTTTGTTATAAAATTATGTAAATAAGTGATTTTTCTCCTTCACTGATGTGCGATAATGAGGCTGCAGTGATGGGCACTAATAGGTGGCACTGATGGGCACTGATGAGGAGACACTAGTAGGTGGCACTGATGGACATTGACAGGCATCACTGATGGGCACTGAAAGGCAGCACTCATACAGTATATGGCACTGATAGGCATCACTGACTGGCACTGATAGGCAGCACTGACTGGCACTGTTAGGCGGCACTGATAAGCAGCACTGATGCAAACTGATAGGCGGCACTGACTGGCACTGATAGGCGGCACTGATTGGCAGCACTGATAGGTGGCACTGACTGGCATTGATAGGTGGCGCTGACTGGCACTGATAGTTGACTCTGGCAGCTCAGATGGGCACTGATATGTGCCATTGAT